AGACAACCCCGTAACAATATGCGTTTTGTACTGCTGTTACACAGCACAAAACGCATAAAAAGTGAAAAACACTCAGTTAAGATTCCTGACGCATACATGGAGTATTGATGTCCTTTACATTTGGCTCATTTTTGCAGCAAAATGCTACGCCTACCACAACCTTACTGCTATTTGTGTTCCTTTTTCAGCATTGCTGAACGCCTGACTTGGCCTTTTGTTGTTCTGAATGTATGCTGTAAAATACGAGAACAGACGGTGAATATGCAACCCAGGATCAAAGACAGGGATTAGCTATGTTTGGCGTGCAGGAACGTCCCAGCAAGCGTCACTAACACAGAATATTCATACAATACTTTCCTGAACTTTTTGGTTACCGACTTTTCAGTCCATGTTGTCATGAGAAGTTAGGACTGTAACCTATATTTTGGTAGTTGTAAACTAAAATAATTTTGTTACACAGTGTAGTACTGGCCTGTTCAACATAAGCTAATGCTTCATCCCACTGCTGCAGCAAAAATTCATTCTGCTCGACAAGCTTCGCTCGTGAATTTTTTTCTTCCTGCAATTCTTCCAGTAGTTTTGCTTCCACACTCAATCCAATATTATTAATCAGTGGCATATACTGAATCGTACTTTGCGATGTTTCCTCGATTGAACCCTGAAATTGAAATATTCTGATGAAGCTTCCTTTCCTAAATAATCTGCCTTAACCCTTCCTTACTGGATGAGAAACGCGACGATGAAACAACAACAGATCAAAGTGCCAAAGTAAAGCAGTACATATGTGTGTCTAGGAATCAGCCTATAGTATTCTGTCGTAACTTAGGTTTGGTGCTAGACGACCAATATGCAAGTTTAACTGCATTTATTTCATTCTTTTTAAAGTGTCGAATACAACACTGTGTTTGAACAAACCTCTGGTGAAAATCGATCGTAGAGAGGCTGCTCAAGACGCTCAATAAGCTGGCATTTATCTACGATAATCGCATCCTTCCCTCGAATCTGTTCCTCCAGATCAAATATCACACGGTCTCGTTCACGTAGTCGCAGTTTCAGTTGCGCTATCTCAGTTTCTAATTCCTTGTGTTTTTCCGGCACATCTGAAATAGATTTCTTATTATCATCATTGCCATTGTAGCAATTATTATGATTGTTGTTGTCATTATTATCATTATTAATATTATTGTTATTATTATTGTCATCGTTACCACTATTACTATCATTATTATCACTACTATTATTGTTATTATTATAATTACACAAGAGAAAGTAAAATCCGATGGGCAATGCACGTTGTCCGCCTTGCTGACAATCGGAGACGTACTATCCGGTAATACCTTCGAGGAAACAAACGATTACTCTGCCCGACCTTGAAGCGGTATGGCACATACATCGAAGAGACAGTGTATTTAATTGGAAATATGCAGCTTTTTTAATTGAAATCGGTATAATTTTAGCTGTTTTCGACATTTGTGAACATATCAGCAATATTACTAACGTTAAAAGCTTACACGAATTGTCCTGGCGGTTTTGGTGTTTTTGTTTTTAAGCAAATATAATGTGAAGTTTAGGGCAAACCTGGTTCAGGCACTGTTTCTGATGTTGAGGAGGGTGCCATCACCATCAATTCGCTGTTCAGGATATTCTCATTTTTCGAATTAACTGAACTGAAATATCGTCAAAATTCACAAGTTCCTCATCCTCTTTTACCCGTTTTTTGACAGTTGCTGGACGCTGCATATCATAATCCTGTTTAATCTCAAGAAATAAAATGGCCATTTAGGCAGCGTTCGTTAGTGACCATCCACTCTTTTTAAAGTTACAGTTTTCTGATCCTATTTCCCTGGTATAACAGTAACCATTAGCGAAAATTGACGCCACGACCTACACTGGACCTTTGTAGCACATTAAAATTGGCTTAAATTTCTTTTAAAATATATTTTTTTCAGTCTGAACCAAACCTTCGCCGCACTGGTCTTCTAGGCGAGGTGACGACAATACTAACTATCAGCTGGCAGGGCAAATTTTTTCAGTAAATCCAGAAAAATAAGGAGCTAGCCTAGTTAAGCAAGCAAATAAAATGTTAAAAATACTTCCCTCCTGTCACAGACGTTCATCATTTTAATCCAGAGCTCAACTGTATGCAGCTCTGGCCGTACAAATGCTAATTTTTGACCTGCTGGAAGAGTTTTTCTTCTTACCAGGGGTAGTTGTTCTTAGGACTTGCTATTCTTAGAATATTCCCTGAGTGCTTCTATCCAATCATACAACATCAATACAGCGGTGTGTGGGGCCAAGGAGCGTAAGGGGGAAAAGACGTGATTGACTTTTTATGCGTTTTTGCCGTGCAGCGCTAGAGCGCTGCAACAGGCAGCAAAAACGTTTATTGCAGCGTGTGTGTATGTATATGTGTTCGTCTGCCCGGGTATTTCAGCTCTTCAACCACACAAGCTTTGAAGCTGAAATTTTGCCAGTATGTTCCCCAGCGAAGTGCCACCTCAGGACCGCGGTATCAACTCTCACGCATGTTTGGGCCACGCGCACGTGCACGCGAAGGTTTGGCGAGAAAACTGCTAACTCGGGAATGAGAAAAGCTAGAAGGCTGAAACTTTAAGTTTATGCTCCCTACTCATGTAT